AGTTTCTGTAGAGAAAGACTACATATTTTCCACTTGAGAAACATCAACATAGGACAAATGACCAGGTATGTAGTAAGCTTTATCTGCTGCTAGATTTTCTAAATGGGCTTAAGTTGCCAGTAGAAAGAATAGTTGGAATGTTTATTAAGCCTCTGCTTGCAATTTTGCTGTCAACTTTAATGGCAATTCCAATTAAATATTTGTTCTTTGCCTTCATTAGAAATATTAACTTAGACTGTTAATATGCTGGCATGAATTTTTTATTCATTCAATAGGCATTTATTTAGCATAGTGTACAGTATTAATTTTTCAGGATTCTGTGGTCAATAAAAGACTGAGATAGTAACCAAAAAATACTTATTATACAGCAAAATAGAGAAAAAATCAAAGCATATTGCATTTATTTGTAGGAGAAGCATTTTAGAAGATAGAGAATTCAGAGGAGAAAGCTGAGGGTGGAGTGGCAAAATCAAAAATCAGATCAGGATTGACTTTGTACTCCTTGCCAAGGAGACTGACTACTGCACTGAAGGCTATAGATAGACACTCACCAAATTTAAGCTGCAAGGAGAATGATCAGATTTATTATTTTTATACTGAAATGTGGGGAATGATTGAAGTTGAGAAAAACTAGAGGCTATAAACTAAGAAGACAATTTTGAGTCATTCCTACATGAGAAGTGATGGCAGCTTAAGGCAGTGGCAGTGGGAATGGGGAATAAGAAACAGATTTAAAGGAGATTATAATAATAGAAATTGAAGACTGATTGGATATTGTGGGTTTTGAGGGAAATGAGTCTGTAAAGAATGTCTTAAGGAGGGATTTCAGGTTTTGAGTTTGATGACTAGGGCGATATTATTTCCACTTACCAAGACAGAGAATTCAAGAGCAAGAAGCAGAAAATTGGGAGTAAGATTGGTTATCAGTTTTAGGTATGTTGACTCTGTGACAATGGCAGACAACTGGATATACAAGCATCTAGTTCAAAGAGAGATGTGGGCTGGTAACATAGGATTTGTATGCAATCAAACAGAGTGAAAATCGAAGCCATAGGAGAAAAGGAAAAGGAAATCACTCAAGAAGAATATATAGAGAAAAATTAGTGAAGCAAGCTAGGAACTCTGGAAAGAGTTCAATACTATTTAAGGATTCTCCAAAAGGGAGCTCAAAATAAGCTTGAAATAGACTTGAAAAGGGTTGAAAAATGAATAGACACAAGATAACAGAGAGTGGGGAATAAATGCAATGCACATATGTTGAGATAGCAACTGTAGACAACATGGGTATATAGAGATGGGAGAGGTTTCTTCATTTGTTTCTTTTTAGATGAGACCCTTGAAAAATATTTATATATGAAGCCCAGAGTGGAAGGAAAAAGAAGGAAAGGTTGAGTGGAGGCTTAGTAGAATGTCTAGCAAGGTACTTGGAGTGGGATCCAGGCTAGGGAAGAGAAAGAATAACTTCCTACTGAGAGAATAGAAGGATGTAAAGATGGATCGAGTAGCAAAGTAAGTACATAGAATAACTTTGAAGAAACAACTTGGAAAGCTCCTGCCTAAGACTTGGGTATTCTCTGTTAAGTTGGAGCTAATGTCATCTGCTGCACCCAGGATCAAGACGGTGAGTAACAGTAAGAGGCTTGACGGTGTTGCTGAAAGATTGAGCCTGCTCCTGTGAAGAACAAGAATGAGGAAAGCCTCAGAAGGTATCATGGACCTACTGAACAGTGTGGAGGATCCAGTTGAAATTATAATGCTAGCTGTTTTTGTGTGAGCATAATTTTCTCTTTAGTGTTCAGCAGTATAAGTTTATAAGTAGGGCAGAAAATAATAAAGTTCATCCCAAATCAGAGTTTTTCTGGATTGTAGGAGGAATGGAAAGCAAGGACACTGCTAATATTGGCAAATGTAGTCAAAATGGATCTAGCTTGGATGAACAAAATAATTTAGAGTAGGAGGAACAAGATACACCAGGAGAAAAATAGATTCCAAAAAGCCTGAAGGTCTAGATGAGGCCAAGTAGAGGTTTGTGGGCATAAATGAGGGTGACAGCTGAGAGGTTAGACAATTGTGATAAGATGAGAGGCTTAAAAGCTGGATTTTCAGATTTCAGAGACAGCAAAATTCTGGTAAATACAAAGTTTAGGTGGCTAGAAATAAGAGTGGCTATAGTAAAATGGTATAGGAAGTTATGAGGCAACAAAAAATACTTGGCAGCCCACATGCTATTGAAGTCACCCAGGATTTTGGCAGGATTGGGGTGAAAAGTATACTTATAAACTGGGTGCATTTTGCAAATTTTTGTTCATCTACCAATTCTTACATTTTCATGGAGACTCAGATTTAAGAAGAATTATAATGAACACTTGAAACATGAGTTAGGCTTACAAATTATTATTCAACAACAAAAGTGAAGAAAGAACCAAAGAAAAGTAAGTAGAAAAGGACCTAAGTTATAAATGCAATCACCACTCCCCTCTCCCTTTTTTACTGACTACAATTGTTCTTGGTCATTACCGTTAATTTATAAAGTGGTCAGTAAATCTTGACCTATTATGTGACCACTAATTATGTACCTAGCTTTGGCTAAGTCTTTTACTAATTATATTCTAAAACGAATAATAGCTAATGTTTACTGAGGGCTTGCTATATGCCAGTGACTTCCTGAGTGTTTCACATATTTAGACCCATTTATCTCCATGAGGTAGGCATTATTATTTCTATTTTATAGATAAAGAAACTGAGGCACAATGATGATAAGTAATTTGCCTGAGATTTTACAGCACTAAGGGGCAGAGGTGGAATTTCAACCTGAGCAGAGTGGCTCTAGAACCACAGCCCATTTGAGACGAAAGACCCTAAATGAGAGAGTATGAATGGATGATAAGAAGATGTAATTATTTAGGTGTATTCCCATGTTGTGATGGACCAGTATCATTCTGTCAAAAATGAAAGCCCGTAAATTATTGCCAATAAGTAACTGAGGCAAGAGTTAAAAATCATTTCATCCAACAAAAACTGGTGAGTATTATATTGAGTTGGTATTGGTAATAAGCTATAAAGAAATATAATATGTATAATTTGCCTTCAGGTATTACTGATACACATGAGAAAGTAAATGACATATTTCATTAAGTAGTAGGAATTAAAGAAAAAAATTCCCTCTAAGGAGTTAAAGTAGATATTTCCCCTCATAAAAGTTTGTGTTCTTTTATGTATAATAATAACAAATTTGGCTACTTATTTTCTGAGACCATAACAGATTTGAATAAGGGGATTATCAGCAGTGGGAGCAGCAAGGGAGTGATTTGGAGGCCTTAGCCAATCCCTATTTAACTCCCACTACCCCAGTTGGCACCACATAAATATTCAAGTTCACAATTACTATCTTCTTTCTAATAAGCTTGACATCAAACTTTTTTGGAGGTATTAATCTCACCTGAACTAGTAAAAGGTATCTATAATCTTTATTTTTCCCACCATATGTGAACATAGATTAGTTTTGCTACAGAAATATTGATGTGTTAGACTATGCGATGCTGCTCAAACTCCACTTTGATGTATATCATATACAGGTAAGCCCCACATCACCTTTCTAAAATCCCAAACATTCTGAAATGCTGAAACACATCTGTTTCCAGGGTTATGGATAAGGGAAAGCAGTGTTTCCTCACCAAATGTGGCTTCAAGATCAGTCCTGGGCAGCCCCTAGCCTTCACCATCCTATGTCATACAAGTTATTACCCCACTAGAGAAGCTAAGAGTTGATCACAGTGGTGAAAACAGAAAAACTAAAATGCAGACTAAACTCCAAACAAACTAAATCAACACAACAATAACCCTTCTCCCATCAGCAATGACCAAGGCGTCCATGTTTGGTATTTTCTATTTAAGAAAATAGAATGTATGTAATACTTTTTAAAAACGATTGTCATCTTTCCATCCCAAAAATCTGTGCTTAAAGAAGTTTAACGTGGTATTATGGGGAAAAACCAACAGTCCAAAAGATTTCCTCAAATTTGTTGGCAACTGACTTATATTCTGACTTATAGGTATAAGAAACATGACCACATGTGAAAAAAAACATGCCAGTCAAATGGTCAAGATACGACAGTCTTAGCATTCATGAGAAAACATGCTTCTGGCTGCAATATGTAGGGACTGATTTATTATATTTTCAGAAAGTAAAGGAATATTAACCATGCTTCTTTAAAAGCATACACATTTTTCAAACTGGTGGGACTGATAACAATAAGAATCTTGTAATAACTGAATAAAGCAGACCTTAAGGGTCTCCTTTACCAGTGGGACCATTTTAAGAAACAGACTCTTGTAGCTCCTGGGTCAGAACAAGCTTATTATTATTATTTATTATATCTTGTTTGGAACAAAGAAGGAATCTCTAAAGGTGATAAATATTAATCCTTTTAATGGTGGAGGGCTACAGTCTGTCATTGTTCCAGAGAATTAGGTGACTTTAGGAAAGATAGTTAAGTTTGGAATAGTGTTGATTAGAGTAAAAATCATTTTTATAAATCATTTTCAAGAGGTAGAGGAGTTTAAGGTGAGTGAAAATAGCCACTCACATTAGTCAAGCAGGCTCTTCATAGGGGGATTCTGAAGGAAAACCAACGCAAAGGTGAGTTTTCATCAGGAGGCTAGTAAACAATAACAGCAAAACTCAAGTAGCATGGAAGCAATGTTATCACCACTTAAATCAGCACTGATTTAATTTTTAGTTATCTTAGATCCTTAGATAATTCTTTCTATGGAGTCTAGGTATTTGCCACATCTTTATCACTAGGTGCATGTTACTGAGGATTGAGAAGACACAATTGTATGTTTCTAGAGAGATCCAAACTACATCGCCTGTTCTTTGAGTCTTGTGTTCTTGTGAAATTATCATTCTACTGAGTTTTTCACATTGTTTGGTACTAAACTTATTGAAGCAATTTTTCAGCCAAAAGTCGAACAATGTGTTTTCCTCCGAGGAGACTTACTTCATAGATCAAAGAAGCCACGTTCCAGGGTCTTCGGTAGTATGTCAAAGTGTTTCCATCCCGATCCCGGTTACAGAGTCCATTGTAGAACTCATTGTCAAAAGGTGTGCTTAGGGGATCCATCCCTAAAATGTTGATCCTGAGAATGAACAGAGTAGTATCAGAAGTGGAAATAGCACAACATAATGCAAGGCAGCCCTCTGTAGCTGGAAAAAGTGAGACAGCTTCAGTTCATGTCACCGTCACCCAATATGTGTGTGCTATAATCAGAAACAGAAGCAAGAGCCGGTTCACCTTGGCTCAGCGTCCCTGGCAGAAAGCATACCTTAGGAGGGCCTTATGAACTCTTTTAGGCAACTAAGGCACTGTTTAGAGTGCAATGAAAGAAATGCAATAAGTAAGGCACATGGGACCATCTGGTTCCTGGAGTTTTAACTTCACTGCTGTAACTCTTACCTAACCTCCCTTAGTGAACCAATAACTGATGCTGTAATACCAACTATTTAAATTATTTGAGAACAGAGCATCTCAGGGGGCCAATATAACATATGCATGTAATTTTTCATCTATGAATCAACACTGGGGCTTTCTCTCTCCCTCCCCATTTTCTTTAAACTTAAGCCTTTTCCTCCAGCTGTCTCATTGCTTGTCAAGAACCTCATTCCCTCCAGGCTTGTATTATTCCCATTACACTTTCCAAGTTGAACACAAAAATTTCAGCATCCTGGAAAGGCATTCTCAAAAGTTATATTTTTTCCCACAGCAAAATATTTTTATTTGGCAAGCTTTCATTCATAAATATAAATCTTTAGTTTTTAAAAAAAGTTAAATTTTACTTCTAGGCTTAGAAACAATATACGAACAAGAAGCAGTTATTTCCTTGTGAAATACACCTCTGTTAATTGGAGGAACAGTCATTGCTGTCTAGGCTGTATCTGGAATAAATGGCCCCAAGCCAGGGAGGCCAATAGGTTTGCGGATCAAATCTGTAACTTACCTTGGCACAAAAACACAAACTCTTCCATTGCCCTAGGCCACATTCCTAACTCCAATGAACTGGATTACAAATCTGGATGTTGGTTTTAAGACCAATTTGTCAAAGAGTGGGTAGTTTACCATAAACCCATGGCTTATGCAAGAGAAATAATTGAAAGGGTTTCCTGCTGCTAGTGGGTGAGTTAAAAACAACATCTTTATACAAATAGCACATTTTACATAAACTTTGAATCTACAAAGTTCTAGTGAATCTAAAGTGGTTCAACTTTAATGGAAAGCAAGTTAACAAACTGACACATAAATATCTTCCTCAAGGCTGACATATAGATAAAATGGACCACCTCTCACTGCTTGTCCCACCAAAATACCTTTCATGAAAAATGCTATGGCCCTAAAGTTCTCATATAGGGACAAAAATTAGACCTATTAATTTGAATATGAGAAAAAAGAAAATAAATTATATATTTGATTTACTTTTTTAAACACCTTATTCCTCATGATAGATTAGAATTTTGGTCCCAATTCTTTACCCATCTCTGCATCTACACCCTTGCCATGACCTTATCACAGGCAAAGTGTACTTCCCTCCCTAGTGGCTTTGTGCTTGGCCATGTGACTTACTTTAGCCAATGGCATGTAGTTGAGAGTGACAGTGGGCCAGTTCAAAGCATGGGCATAAAGAGGTCTCATTCATTGCCTTTACTTTTGTGTATTCGTGCCATTGCCTTGAAAAGGGCTTCTAATGGGTAGCCGCTGCCCCTTCAACCTGGCTATCATTGACCCCAGTGAAAAGCAGAACCACCCCAGCTGTTGCAGCTTGAGGCGAATCTCCCAGTGAAGCCCAGTCTTGTGAGAAATAAACAGTTATTTTGTATCACTAAGGTTTTGACGCAACCTCTCCACCACAAAGAGGTAAAATAGTGGAAGCAAGTGACCTGGGTTGTTTCTTAAACAAGACCTCAGCTACATTTTCTTTATATGATAGTGAACTGCATATCCTGTGTAGCTACATTAACAGAGACATTGTACCTCTTTGTTTTCAGTGAACAATGAAATCAACCTTTGTTTATATTGATGATTAGCTCTTAGGTGACTACCATATCTATGTGTGGTACAGCGTTTGCAATTGGCAGGGAGGAATATTAAGATAGTTTATATATACTCTCTGCTTCCACGCGAATTGTGTTCAAATTAAGGAGTAGAACATAAAATCACCAATTTCAAAAACTAGACCAAGGAAGAATACACAGTCAGTCCTCCATATCTGTGGGCTCTGTGTCTGTGGATTCAACCAATCATGGATTGAAAATATTTGGAAAAAAATTACATCTATGTTAAGATTGTACAAACTTTTTTCCCTTATAGTATAGCACCATTTATATCACATTTACATTGTATCAGGTGTTATAAGTAACCCAGAGATTATTTAAAGAGTACAGGAGTATGTACATAGGTATGTGCGAATACTATGTCATTTTATATCAGGTACTTGAACATCCTAAAAGTTTTGTACGTGTGGGAAGTCCTGGAACCAATCCCTGATGGGTAGAAAGGGAGGATTGTACTTGTGCCCAATGAGCGGTACATGTGAGTGCTTTACACAATGATTCTTCTGGAGGAAGAAATCACCATGGGAACGTCATTAAAAGAGTTTTAGAAGAAGAAAGATTTGATTTGGGTTTTGAGGGGTGGGTAAATTAGGATTGGGCTAGTGCAGGAGAAATGTGTGGGTAAGAGCTCAGAGACGGAAATGGCATGTGATGAGGGTAATAGTCTTCAGATATTCTGTTCGTCTCCCCATAAAGGAATTTTGATAAATTATGTTTTCCTGTACATTTTTAGTGTGATATCTAATATTTTTCATCTTAAGATTAAGTAGATGCAAAGAATATAATTCCTAATAATGTTGTTATTATTTGTATTTTAACATATAATTATTTTACCACTTTAAAAATAAAATCAATAAATATAAATGCTGTAGTGATGCTGGGTCGTACAGCACTGATATTTTTCTAACAGTTGGAAATTTTTTAGTTATTTTTATTCCTTTTTATTTATGCTTTTTAAGTAGGCTTTACTTTTTAGAGCAGCTTTAGGTTCACAGCAAAAGTGAACAGAAGGCACACAGACTTCCTATATACTCTATGCCCCTTTTTATTCCTGAATTCATATTTCTATTCCATTTCCCCCACAGAATTTTAACCTAATGTAATATAGTTTATCTTTGAAAGTTTTCATTAATTACCTTGTCATACTTTTCTGTACCAAAAAGATACTAATTGAAATTTTAAAATATTAAATACTCTTTGACCATAGGGTCTAAGTATTAAAAATTCTTTATTAATAGTAAATTTTAAAAAATCATTACTAAACATAAGTAAAATTTTATTGGAAAGCTATCTTAATGAAATGAATGAGTCTTCTTTTTAAATTAATATGTTGGTTCCTGTATCCATGAATGAATATTACTTCATTCATTCATGGTGCTAGGAAGAGACGGCGTTCAGTATCAGTTTGATTCCTACTTTTCACTTTTATAGTTGTAAGTGCTGAGAAGCTTTACTCACATAAATAAGTAGATAAGAATAAAATAAATGTTCTTATAAAAATGTCACACAAATTTTAATCCCTTTTTCTGAGTTATATACCAAAAAGAGATCCCATAGTTAGTGGTCTTTCATCAAAAAAATTTTTTTTGCTCCATTATCTAAAAATTGATTAGGTAATCTTTCAATGTTGATAAAAAGAATTTGAGATCACAAAACTTCAAGGTGTCAGAGTCCAGTTGAGCACTAACATTTGGAGTTGTTTATTGTTTTCTTTTTTCCCTCTCTGTAGTAAATGTGAGATGGGTGAGGAGTATACTCTGCTCTTAGAAAGTAAGAAGTAAGTGATTGTTTAAAAAAGCAAGAAAGGAGAGTGGGCTTGACAACTTGGATGCAGCTGAATTGTCATGCTTATTAATTTTGTGAAAAACATGTACATACGGAAGTTGAGGATTTACTATTAGCTTAGCTAAATAATTAATAGTTGAGGAAACTATTACCTTAAGACTTACTTGTCTCCTCTTGGCAAGTTTTTGTGTACCCGGTGGTATGTATATCCTAGTTTGAAGGTTACTGTTTTATAGATCATCAAATTGGCCAGTTAGCTGGACCCATCTGGAAAGTTACAATAAAGTTGATCCACAGTCTAAGGCACAACTAAGGAATAAATGTTTCAAAAGCTTTGGACTTGGTGCTACTACTACAGGGACAGCCAGTCTAGTCTAGAATAAGCCAATTTTTTTTTGCCAAGAAACATGAACATTTCTCATGGATGGAAAGTCATCATCTGGGAAATAAAAAAAAACATATGTTCTTTGGCAGTGCTTAGAGATGCCTGTTTTCACACGTGCATCTAGAACCACAGGCAGTTCCAATTTACCAGGTGAACTGAAGAGAAAGCTCCCTTCACAGAAGTGGTGTTATGCTTAGATCACAAAAAAATAATTCCTTGCATATTGTACATCACTTACAGTTGGCTGGATTTATGCCTTTTCAATGAATGCAAGATGGGCTGAGGGATTTCCCTAAACACTTCTGGAGAATCTCAGATGCCTTCAAATAAGAGGCTGAAACATTTGTGATACAACTCAGTTCTCCTGGCATAAGAACATAGGTGTGAGAGGCCTTCAAATGAAAACAGTGTAAATTAATTACCATGAGTGTTTGTGACTTTCACATGTAGAAGAATCTAACTGTATGTGACTATTGATAGGACTTGTTGAGGTTGTCCAGATTGAATTGGGTAGATGTAGTTTATAAGCATGTTGCTATAATTAGGGAGTTTACTCCTATTACCTCTATTTCGCAAAGAATCTGCAGCTCCATATAAGAATACGGGAGGTTTATAGTAAGTAAACATGCAACATTAATGGTATGAAAGACTATTACAAATATAACAATAAATGTTGTTTTGAAACCTCTTCCTAAATACTAATTACTGATTTATACCACTCTCCTATATTCCTTAATTCAAATATTTGTGTGATAAGTAGCTCCTTAAGGAGTTTCATTTTTTAAGGTTAGTTTTGCTTTGAAGTTAAGGTGTTGAAGTTAAGACTTACGGATTTTGTAGTGATGTGAGGGAACTACTGTGGGTGTTGGTTGGTGTTTTAACGAGGAGAGGGTAAGGTGGCATAATAGAAAAATATAGTTTTATGAGACTCAGAGAAACTTGTTTCAGCTCTACTAGAAACTAATCCAAACGGCCTTATTTATTTCACTCATTTCTTATCTGTAAAATGAATATAATACCTCCTCTAACAATCCCCCAGGATTATTAGGAAAATCTATGGAGATACAGTGTGGAAAAATACTTTGAAAAGTTTAAAGTATTATGCAAATGAAAGTTGTCATAGAACAATAGGTTTTATGAAGACTAAATTTAACATAGGTTGTTACTCATGGTAATGGGGAATTTAATAAAAAATGTTGATGGACTGATTCTATCAGGACCTACTGCATTTTCCATTTTTACCAGCCTTGCTCTTACCTTTCCCCATAGCTGGGGCCCTACCTTCTTACACAGCCTTGAAGACTCAGCTGTGGGATAGTCCCCAACCCCAACCCTGACTGTGTTAAAGCGTGAGATATTTAAGAATTCCTAGCTAACCCTGCTTCATTATGAAACTCCCTGGCAAATGCTATGCAACAAATTTTTATTTTCCCTGAACAAAGGAAACCAATAGATTATGAATGATTGTTTTTCAGCTAAATGGGCTAATATTTCTATATTCCTTTCCTATAAGACAAACTATAAATTTGCATTGAATGAGAATAAATAACATATGTTAAGCTGTTTTATTGAGATTAAAGAGAAAATTGTTTCTTGAATCTCAATTAAAGCAAAATAAAGTAGTAATGGGCTTTCACCATGGACTCACAATCTTTCCCTGAGGAGATAAATAAAAAGAATCAGGACTCATTTGAGCACACCATCATCTAGTTATGAGGTTTGGGAAAACTCCCATACCATTTACTGCCTACAATTTACTAAGAGGGCCTGCTGAGCTTAGGGGCCTAAGATCATCCATTTGATTCAAGATTTCCACCTTTAGGCTAAGGGCCAAAGGCACTGTAAGTAATTTTGAACGTTGCTTGAACAAGACTGTATAAAGTGTATGAAGGGCACATGAAATGCTTTATCTGGTACCTGACTCTTGGTATCCTGGGATATTTTTCTTACCTAGACTTAAGAAGTAGAAGTTTCATTTGGCTTAGAAAGAGGAGACATGTCCTTCATTAGCTAAACTTGATAGAGGTCTTATCATAGGAACTGCCTAGTACCTTAGTGTAGGGTTTCTCAACCGCGGCACTGACGCTTAGGGTCAGGCTGTCCTGTGCTTAGCATCATCTGTGGCCTCCACCCACTATATAACAATAGCACTCCCCGTTCTCACACCCTCCAAGATGTCACAGCTACAGTGGTCTCCAGATATTGTCAAATGTCTGCTGAGGAAAAAATTACCACTGATTGAGAACCACTGCATTACCCTTCTACCAGTCTTGCTCTGACCATCACCCCTATCTTTTTTCATCTTCCCATCTCCATACCCAGAACTGGAGTCCTGTCCCTGAAAAGAAATTCAGTCTTACCTGATGCCAATTGACAATATTTTAGAAAGCACTTGATAGATATTCATTAATTAATAATTAGCCTATTTATCCACCTACCAAGTATTTACTGAGCACCTACTATGACTCAGGCACTGGAATTATGAGGAGACACATTACATTATAGGTGAGGAAATAAAGTCATATACCATCTCTTTCAATATACTACTGGGTAGAATAATGACCGTGTCTTTGTTGAGGACAATTTTCCAACAAATCCACTTTTACCAAAAACAGCAACAAATCCACATTTATCAAAAACAGCTCAGATAAGTAGATTGCAAAAATTTTCTCCCATTCTATAGGTTGCCTGTTCACTCTGATGGTACCAAACACTGCATGTTCTCACTCATAAGTGGGAACTGAACAATGAGATCACTTGGACTCGGGAAGGGGAACATCACACACCGGGGCCTATCACGGGAGGGGAGAGGGGGGAGGGGGTGGGATTGCATTGGGAGTTATACCTGATGTAAATGACGAGTTGATGGGTGCTGACGAGTTGATGGGTGCAGCACACCAACATGGCACAAGTATACATATGTAACAAACCTGCACGTTATGCACATGTACCCTAGAACTTAAAGTATTAAAAAAAAAAACAAAAAACAAAAACAAAAATCCGCTCAGAATGACTAAGAGAGGCCGTGTAGTAGATATTCCTAGGATGCGCTCTGACTATATATGGAACAGAACAGAACAGAACTGAATTTCTCTATTCTGTATAGTCCTGAGTTCTAAACTCCAAGACATCCCATCTGAGATCACAGCCACCTGTCCAGAGGCCCTAGGTTTTGTATGGAAAATGAGTGAAATGTCAGTTCTCTATGATGAGAACCAGAACCTCAACATAATCATCCTCTGGCATCAAAACTGCTTCCTCTGATCACATTCCTCCTGGGTCAGCTCCAGAATGCTGGAAACTCCCAAGATCCAGGAGAAGTTCCAATGGAAGACAGCCTTCCTAGCAATGCAAATATTTGAATTGAATTGCTCGATCTCCTATTGGAAATTCATTCCAAATGTTAACATGTCATGTCAATGTTGCTGTGGTCTCCCAGAGATTCCTAAATGAGAGATTTCATCTCTTGCTCGACTGAGAGACAATCATCTAAAATCTTGATCATCTAGTCCAGTCTACAGACCCCTACTGAGGCCAGGCAATTTGTCCAAATTATCCTGAGATGCTTATTTAGCACTTCCTTTAAGCTCAAAGGTAGTTCAAAAATAATACAGACCCATCAGCTGTATCACCTGCGTCCCTCACACAAATGCTTCTACCAGTCTGTCACAGTGAGAGAGATGGAGATCATTTTCACTCATCTTCATCTGAAAAAGTACAAATAAAATACAGACCCGTAGCCTGCTGTTCGTGCCAGCTCAGACTCTTCTACCACTCTGTCTCTGCAGGGGGGACGGGGATCACTTTCACAATCATCCTCATCTGAAAAGTCTCCACAGTCATTGTCACCATTACACAGGAGTCGCCTCTTTATGCATCTGCCTGCCATCAAAATCAGGAAAGACTCAATGTGTCAAATGCCAAATTTTTTCTTTCTTTCTGAAGTTATCATATGCACTTTAACCCTGGAGGTGAGGTCTCAGAAAAACACATTTGAGTTCTTCATACAGAATATATAGATGGTTGTTTTGGGGGCCTTTCACGCTTGGAAATCCAGGTGTCTAGAAGCATATGCTTTTTTTTTTTTTTTTTTTTCTTTTCATTCAGGAAGGCACACAGAAACCCACAATGAGCAACTGGAGCACAAAGATTACCTGTACCGCATTGAAAGTCATTTCCGCAGTCATCCTCAGCATCCTCACAGGGCTCTGTGGGCACACACTGTCGTCTGTCTCCCACAGCATCGGTGCAACTTTTCCCATTAAATTGTCCGAAGACCTCAATGCTTCTTGAACGAAACTGCACAATATCAGTTAGAATAATTAGGATTTCTAATGCCAAAAAAAGTGTATGGTCTAAAGGTGCATTCATACAACTATATCCCTCCAATGAGTCAATGGTTTTAAGATAGAAGCAGTGGAAGAAGTCACTGATGTCAATTAGGGTAACACTCTGCATTCTAGGTTTGGCAGCCTCTTATACAGATGAGTCCTCTGGACACTCATTTAGTATTCTGTACAACATAAAGATTTCCTGGAAGAGTTAGCAACATACATTTGAATGTTTATCCCTCTTTCTGGGTTTGGTACTCAGTTGTGGGGCTCCCTGCCTCATAGTCATTTTTCTGGAGAGGCTAGCAATACAGTTTCCATTTGGGGAGGTCAGTGGGGAAGGGAGATGAACACTTACCATTTGTCTGAGGCAAGGATCGCATTGTGACCATTCACTCCAGGGGCTCATTCTGCAGTCTATGTGCGATGCGGAACCACGGCTTTCTGTTGGCTGTGGGTCATAACTAAGATAATAGAACACGCCAGTTTATAATGACCATTGTGTATGTTTGTTTCCTAGAAGTCTTCACAAACACAGTTCATTTTGTACTTTATCCCCTCTCAAATTACACCATTTATCTTTTTACTGTATATTTCATTTCACCCTTAATTGCATGCTGTTTTGTATTTTCAACTCATCTTTTTGTTTAATTTTTGTCTGTATTGTAAGTTAACTTTTAACTTCCTAGCAATGCAAATATTTAAAACAACAAAATAACGACAAAGATGAAAATTAGCCAAGCATCTTTCCAGGTGTTTTACATAGATTAATCTTAGATTTCCAACTAGATTATGAACTTAATGAAGCTAGAAATCTGATTTTATTTTTGTGTGTGTGTCTTCCTTGCCATCCACCATACGCCACCCCTCACCAAGAGACTGGTGAGGCTAAGTTACCTCATTCTCTTGCAAATTTAAGTCAGCCAGCCCAGGCCCAGCCATTCCTGTAGCAGGCACTTCATAAATCAGGCGTCCCCTCTCTGGTATTCTGTATGCCCTAAACTGGATGCTTTGCCACTTCACACTTCACTTCAGGAATTATTCCTGATCTTTCTGAGTTTTAACATATATTTTGGCACTTATGCCTCCCTTTCCACCCCCAGGCCCACTGCTCAGCAGTGCTTTTCTGGCTTTGAACTTTCCTTTCTCTGTTGGTTCACCATTTGAGTCTCTTCTGGTTGAAATATTACCCGGGATAATTATAAAAAAAGAAAACACAACAGAACCAGAAACCACCAAACAAGAATCCTACAAATTCCCTACTTCTACTTGCCTGACCTGACACTGATCCTTCCTATAGCTAAGCCTCTTAAACCACAGAAAAGGCTAGGCGAGGCCAATCTCTCCTCAAATGCTCTAGATCCCAGCTCCCGTTGGAGACTCAGATCCATTGAATATCTTGTTCCTTTTAAACTCTCCGTCTCTACTTTCTCCTTTCCACCTGTAGTATAAACTGTTCAAGTTTGTGACATTAAACATAAAAAGCCAATGAATGAACAAATCATGCACCCTCCTTGATTTCACATTTTCTTCCAGCCACTCCCATCTCCCTCCTGCCCTTCACAATAACACTTCTTAGAATAATTGCTTGAAACACATTTATGTTTTTTTGTCATCCGAAGAACAAGTCTTATCTCCTCCTTCAATCTCTACATGCCCTTTTAGTTATTCCTAAATTCTATTTTCTTTTTAGCCATATTTCTTGAGAAAGTAGTTAGCACCCTCATCTCTTGTTTCTTACATCCCAAACACTTCTCAACCATCCTGCCCTGTGAACACTGCTCTTGCACAAGTCCGTGATGACTACCATGTGCCTCACTGTTCCTTTCAGTTCTTATCTTACTGACTGCTTCATGACATTCAATGTATTGACCACTGTTGCTCTTCAGGACACTCTCTTCTCTTGGATTATAGGCTCTTTTTTCATTTCTTTTTTTCTTCTCTGCCTAGTACTCCTACTTTTCTATGCAGGCCCCCTTCTTCTGGTAGTCCTTGAAATACTTATTTTCCCTCAAGGTCCTGTCCTTGGATGTCTCTCTCTCTCTCTTTTATTTTTCTCTATATTTTCCCCAGAACTTTGGTTTTCATGTTTATGCTAACGACACTGTATTAGTCTATTCTCACATGGCTATAAAGAACTACCTGAGACGAGGTAACTTACAAAGAAAAGAGGTTGAATTGACTCACAGTCCCACAGGCTGTACAGGAGGCATGACTGGGAAGGTCTCAGAAACTTACAATAATGGCAGAAGGGTGAAGGGTAAGCAAGCACGGCTTCACATAACATCAGGAGAGAGAGAGCAAAGGGGGAAATACTACACAGTTTTTAACAACCAGGTCTCATGAGACCTCCATCGTGAGAACAGCAAAAGGGAAGTCCAGCCCCATGATTCAATCACTTTCCACCAGGCTCCTCCTTGAACATGTGGGAATCACAATTCAACATGAGAGATGGGGGCACAGTGCCAAACTGTATCATTGCACCCTGGTCCCACCAAAATCTCATGTTCTTCTCACATTTCAAAACACAATGATGCCTTCCCAACAGTCCCCTAAAGTCTTAACTTATTCCAGCATTAACTCAAAAGTCCAAGTTGAAAGTTTCATCTGAGACAAGGCAAGTCCCTTCTGCCTATAAGCCTGTAAAATCAAAATCAAATTAGTTACTTCCAAGGTACAATGGGGGTACAGGCATAGGGTAAATGGTCCCTTTCCAAAAAAGAGAAATCAGCCAACAGATAGGGGCTACAGGCACCATGCAAGTCCAAAACCCAGTTGGACAGACATTAAATCTTAAAGCTCCAGAATGATCTCTTTTGACTCCATTTCTCATGTTCAGGGAATGTGGATGCAAGGAGCAGCTCTGCTTCTGTGCCGCTGCAGAGTAACACCTGCAGCTGCTTTCATGGGCTGACATTGAGTGCCTGCAACTTTTCCAGGTACACAGGACAAGTTGCTGGTGAATCTACCAATCTGGGGTCTGGAGGATGGTGGCCCTCTTCTCACAGTTCTACTAGGCATTGCCCCAGTGGGGACTCTGTGCAGGGGCTCAAATCTGACACTTTTCCTTCACATTGCTCAAGTAGAGGTTCTCCACAAGGGCCCTGTCCCTATAGCAAATTTCTGCCTGGACATCCAGGCGTTTCTATACATCCTCTGAAATCTAGGTGGAGGTTCCCAAACCTGAACTCTTCCCTTCTGTGTACTTGCAGGTTCAACACCATGTGGAAGCCACCAAGGCTTGGGTTTGTACTCTTTGAAGCAATGGCCTTAGCTGTACCTTGGCCCCTTTTAGGAACAGCTAGAGTTGGAGCAGCTGTAATGCAGGGTACCATGTCCCAAGGTTGCACAGAGCAGTGGGGCCCTGGGCCTACTCCATGAAATCATTTTCACCTCCTAGATATCCAAGCCTGTGATAGAAGGGGCTACCACAAAGGTCTCTGAAATGCCCTGAAGGCATTTTCCCCTTTGTCTTGGCTATTAACATTTGGCTCCTCTTTAGTTTTGCAAATATCTGCAGTTGACTGGAATTTCTCCCCAGAAAATGAGTTTCTCTTTTCCACCTCATGGTCAGGCTACAAATTTCCCAAACTTTTACACTCTCCTTCCTATTTAAATATAAGTTCTCTTTGCTTATGCAAATGAGCATAGGATTTTAGAAGCAGCCAGGCCATATCCTGAACACTTTGCTGCTTAGAAATTTCTTCTACCAGATACCCTAAATCATCTCTCTCAAGTTCAAAGTTCCACAGATCCCTATAGCAGGGGCACAATGCCACCAATCTCTTTGATAAAACATAGCAAGAGGACCTTTGCTCTAGTTCCCAATAAGTTCCCCATCTCCATCTGAGACCACCTCAGCCTGGATTTCATTGTAAATATCACTATCAGCATTTTGGCCAAATTCATTCAACAAATCTCTAGGAAGTTCCAAATTTTCTCTCATCTTCCCTTCCTGTCTTCTTCCAAGCCCTCCAAACTCTTCCAACCTCTGCCTGTTACCCAGTTCCAAAGTCACTTCCACATTTTCAAGTATCTTTAAAGCAATGTCCTACTCTTGTTACCAATTTTCTGTATTAGTCTGTTCTTACATGGCTATAAAGAACTACCTGAGACTGGGTAACTTCTAAAGAAGAAAGGTTGAATTGACACAGAGTTCCACAGGCTGTATAGGAGGCATGGCCGGGGAGGCCTCAAGAAACACAATCATGGGGGAAGGGTGAAGGGGAAGCAAGCACATCTTCACATAGCAGAGTGAAGAGATAGAGAGTGAAGGGAGAAGTACTACATATTTCTAAACAACCAGATCTCATGAGAACTCCATCACAAGAACAGTAAGGGGGAAGTCCACTCCCATAATTAAATCACCTTTCACTATACCTGTCCTTCAACACATGGGAATTACAATTTGACATGAGATTTGGGTAGGGACACAGAGCCAAACCATATTAGACACCCAGAGATAAGTCAGCAGCCCAGACATCTTTCCTGAATTTTACACTTTTGAATATAACTTCCAATTGGACCATGCACTCGAAGGTCTTCATGGCTTATTGAACGCAATGCATTCCCAAATAAGTGCATTAATTTTTCTCCCCTCTCAAATATGCTTCTCCCTTGTATTTATTGTCTTGGTAAATGGCACTTCCATTTACACAGTCATTCTAATTAGAGACCTGGTGCTACTTGTCTCATCCTGCACTTCAGTCCTCATCTATGCCATCAACAAAAATTTGTTGTTTACAGTCTTGTAAATGACTCTCAAATCCATCCATTCTCTTCATCTCTTTCAGATGTTTTTTCTTGTCTACACCAACCTTATATATCTCCTAGATGACTACAAAAATTACTCTCTAATTCAGTTTCCACAAGGCATCCAGAGGGGTCTTTTAAAAATGCAAATTTGATCTTACCATTCAGTTACCAGAAACCTTCAGTAGCTTCCCACCACTCTTGTGATGAAGTCTAAGTTTTTTTAAACATAATGCAATAGGCAGAAAAACAACTCTCAAAGATATCCCTGTTCCAATTCCTGGTACCTGTGAATATGTTGCCTTACGCGGCAAAGGGGGCTTTGCAAATGTGATTATGGGGAGATCATCCTGTATTATTTGGTTGGACCCACTCTGATTACATGGGCTCGTTAAAGGAGAAGAGTGGGTGAGAGAGATGTGAAGACAAAAAAGGCAGGAGAAATTCAAAGCATGAAAAGGGATTCCACCTGCTGTTGCTGGCTCTGAAGATGGAAGAAGAGGGCAATGAGCCAAGAAGCAAAGGCAGCTGTAGAATCTGGGAATAGCAAGGACATGATTTTTCTTTAGAGCCTCCAGAAAGGAATCCAGCCCTGCTGGCACCTTGATTTTAGCCCAGTGAAACTTAATGCAATTTTCTGACTTCTAGAACTGTTAGATAATAAATTTGTGTTTTAAGCCACTACGTTTGTGGTAATTTGTTACAGCTGTGA